TGAGCAGTCTGCCAAAGAGGAAATAAAGAAAGGGTGCTGCATAGCGACTGCTGGCCCCGATGGTGTGTCCAGGAGGCAATGTACCCTGTTCCAACACACTAACTCACCCTCTAGACGAGCCCCAAAGGTGGACCATTCACAAACAGATACACTACCTTCAGGAAGGTGGTGTAGCGCCTCAGTGGGCAGGTATGCAGACTCACTAGGTCCATGAGCACATCCAGAGAAATGTCCACTTCTGCCTCACTTCCTCCGCAAACGTGGGTCACCAAAGCACTCACAACCTCCTGAGGAAAACCCACAAGCAACCAAGAGTGAAACGCAAACAGAAAATCTGTTCTGTGCCAGAAGACCCTTGGGATAACAACAAAGCATCTGCTGCATCAGGCAGGATGACAGCCAAATAACAAGGCCACCCGAAGCTAAAGCAAAGGGCTAGGTATGCATGCGCGTGGGTGAGAATTCACCTCTTTTGCCTGCGGCTTAGCACAGCTTCACTGACTTCTGTCACTTCCAGCAGTAGCAGAGCGAGCAAGCAGCTGGAGAACCGGGCCTGGTGCAAGCCCTGAGGCCTGGCCAGAGGCTGTGAACCAGAGCCTGGCCACATATTAAAGCCGATGGTTACAGGTTCACTGTCCAGCACGTGAACTTGGCAAAGTTGTTGCTAGTGCACTAGGCACTAGATATTTACACAAACAGACTGCAGAGACAGCCCTATCTAGTACGAGATAAGATGGCTTGACAAAATAACGAACAGGGATGCTTTGTCCTACACATCAGGAACAAGGGGGTAATAAACAGACATCATGAAGCACGAGAAGGCGGTGTGCAAGTTGTTCATCCCAATTGCTTGTCTCAATCTATAGATGTTGCTTGCCTCGCCTTTACCCTGTGTGTGGCTTAGGGAACAGCAGAGTTTCCTGCTGCTGACTCCTTGCTCTGGGCACTCCTGTGTTACTGTACTCGTAACCACAGAGCAAGGGCACCAAGACTGTCCCTTGAGAGCAATAACCTTTGCCACAGGTCTTTGTCACCAAACTGTTCCTGAGCAAAGGTCGGCTGGATTAGCAGGCTGCCTTCTCTGCTCTTAGCATGGATCATATTGGCGCTCCAGGGACAGAAACACTGGGAAGCATGAACAGTGTTACTGGAGCAATGACATTCCAGCCTTCAGCACTGACCACCACCAGATACAGCTCAACATGGACTGTCTCCATTCACAGACGCCAGGGACTGACGGCAGTTGCTTTCCTGAGCCTTCTCTGTGTTAGTATTTCTGTCTGCTCACACCACTTAATTTAGCGCTTGTCTCCTCTAGGTCATTCCTGAAAATCTAGCACTGCTGGATGTTTCTCTTTGCAGCTTCTGCCATCTGGAACAGGTCTCTGACTTGCCTAAGTTCACCCCCACTCACACGTCAACTTCTTTCAACTTTCTACCTGCACTGCTGAGTCTCCAGAGCAGTGTGAGTGAAAGACACATTGCACAAGACTAGGTAGAATACACTAACTCCCATGTAGAGGATCCATTGATCTCCAGGGCTTTTTGATGTCCCTACTTCGATCTGCAGCTGTCAGAGCCAATGTTTAACCAAGTACAAATATACGCTCTTCTAGATTTCCAAGTATACCTGCTGGCAGTAGGAGTCAAAGGCTGCAAATGCCTGTTTGTACATGCAGCTGCCAAAGGAGACAACACATGGATCCACAGAGTGCAGAAATGTCTGAGCCAGCGACAGGATTGACAGGAAGAAGTCCTTGATAACCTGCAATACAGACATCGTGAGAGAGACCTGAGCATCGTTACTACTGGCTTTCAAAGCTCCCATCCCTCCCTTCACAAGTTCCAACGAGAGGAGCACTGCTCTTTATTCTCAAGATCCTCAGTTCGTTTAATAGGTGATTCTCAGCTCCTGACTCTCCTGCCTCATTAGGTAGAGGCTGACACCACAGCAGACTCTCACTTACATTTGTGCTCTCCCTAAGCCTGCTTCACTTGCAAAACAACGAGGAAGTTGTCTGCACAAGAGCTTTTTGCACAACAGAGTACAGCTGCACTGGTGCAAGCTCCTCACACAGACATGCCGCCCTGGTGTAAAAAGAGCTTGAAGGGGTGACTCCGGCAAGTCAGTTTAGAACAGTCTACACTCAGGCTTATGCTGGGGCAGGCGACCAATAACTACAGCCCCCCACTGCAGTAAATGCTCATTTGCCAGTCCCTGCTTTACTTTGTGGGCAGGCACAGTCTGTCCCCACACATGGGCCCTTCTCCTTGTAACCGTAGATAGAGGCACTCTAGTCAGACACAGCTACCTGTCCAAACGCAGACTATTTTCTGCTTGCAAGAAGGGATGTGTTTAAAAACATTGGGTCTAAGAGAAAACGTGAGGCACAGCAGCACACCAGGCCTCAGGGGTCACCTGGGTGGGAGACAGGTAAAAAGGCTCACTAAGATCTACAGAAGGACCAGAAGCCTGTCCCATGCTCCAGCCAATCTTGGGAAGTCCACCAGAAGGTTGGACGTAGCTAACCGAGCATAGAGCTGACTCGCAACGTGACAATCCCAGGAGGTGGAGTGGAAAGGGGAATGCATTCTCACCAGCACTCACCAGCGAGTGATTTTGGAAGGCACTCTGTACCAGCTGCTCTGGCACACAACCCAGGGGAATCTTGTTTCTCAGCACTCTCTCAATTTGCTTCCTGCTCTTGGGGTGCGTAGTGTGGATTAGCAGCAGAACTATCAGGTCCAGAACCTTTCACAGAGGAAATAATCACTAATCAGAAAACCATGATGCAGTGGAACAGAAAATGTCTTATGTCTGTTTCCTGTCCGCGAGCAGTGTCTTCCTCAATTCTGGGCCGCCCTGCTCTCTCTGCAGCTCACGGAGGCAGATATGCATTTTGGCATCACATAATGCGGCCATGCCCTCTCTGCTCCGACTTGCTGTCCAACGCACTCATCCTGAGCTCTAGCAGTTGTATAGTATTGCTAACAATCGTCCAGACACAATGAAATAACGACATACACTGGACCAAGGAAAGCTTTAAGTCTTAGACAGGCACTGTCCTAAGGTAACAATCCTACTTAACACCTAACCTGTGACTCATGAGCCATTCCGGGTTGGTAGAATTGTTGTAAACCCTACTAGCATTAAGAAATCTTCCGTTGTGCAGCCTGGCGTCTCCCATGAGTCCGGGAAGTAAGAAGCAGCGAACAGATTCAGGAAGGGTTATTTTTGTGAGCTCATTACAAATCCTGCAGCTCCATCCTGCCAAAAGAGGCTGGTGCTGAAGCCAGAAGATCCACCCTGTACTACTTAGTGAAGGAGCGAGACCAAGTGGCCAAACTGAGCAAATTGCCAAACTGAATCCACGTGCTCATTCCACTCACGGGGCTGATAAGGATCTCGTGGAGTACATCTTAATCCTTTCAGGGACAATAACCATGGATGATTTGTAGGCTTCCACTAAACATCGTCTAACCCAGTGTTTCTCAACCAGTGGTACTAGTACCCCCAGAGGTATTCGAAAGAAGTCTGGGAGTACGTCAACAACTGAAATTTGGAGAAAACTGAATTTTTGTGTTAAGTTTTACAGCGCTTTATTATTTTTGAACTTTTTACACCCAAAAATTTCATTGCCTGCCCAGCTACGATTAAGTTGTTTAAACAAATGTGTTGTAATGGTAGAAAACAATTGTGCTGCAATGGTAGAAAACAATTGTGCGTGTCTGAAAACTGGGGGTACTTTTTTTTGTTTTTTTTTAAAGGAGTACTTTATAAAAAAAGGTTGAGGAACACTGATCTAATCTACCTACCGATGGCGGAACTGGAAGCTCTGAGTCCCTGGCATTTTGGGTGGAAGGATACAGAGGGCCTGCGTGTTTGAAAGAGATATTGTCAATGCTCTGCCGACACCTAAGGCTGCCTTGTCTTCTCAATTGGATTATAACAGAGTGGCTGGCCCATTAAATGAAACCAAACTCCGAACTCCTTTCCAGTCCAGGAGTCCCAGTGGGCCAGTTAAGAGACCTCGCTAGAAAGAGAGCTGGGGAAGCCAGGCGGAGCAGAAGGTGACAGCTGCCAGAGAGGGAAGGTGCTTTTTGGTGGAGGGCTAAAAGCAGGTGAGCAGCAAGAGAGGTTTGCTAGTTGGTGCCCCCAAGCCAAAGAGAGAACCAGAGGGCAGAAGCCTGCAGGCTTCAAGCCAAAGAGCCAGAGCAAAGGTCCAGAGAGGGCTGAACGTAGGGGAGTGGTTTCCCACTGACTTCACCTCACCAAAGAGCTGCCCCCAGCCCACAGAAGGCCAGGGACTGAGGCATGCTCCCAGCATCTGTGTGTCTCCTTAGAGGCACCACTGCACGATTCCCAAAGGACTGTCGCTGGCTTGCTATTGTGCTGATTAACCTGTCTGTGGTTGAAGAGAACCATTCCTCTAGGAAATGGGAAACTCTGCTCCCTGCTTCACTCCCAGGAGAATGCCTGGGTGATCTGTGTCAGAAAGTGGATGATAGGGGTGCTGAGGTCCCTCTGGTTTTCCCTTGGTCCAGAAAACTCCCTTGTTCGGGACCGGTCAGGTCCCCAGGGTGCTGGACTAGGGAGGGCCAATTGTATAATTCAGAGCAACCCTGGTTAAAACCCTGGAGAGAACAAATGCCTGGAGACCCACAAGATCTCTCCTGATCTCCATTGCAAAGCCTCTGGTCCTGCTGCTGTGGAGGAAGGAAGTGCCCTTGCCAGTGTGTCCATGAGAGAAGTCATAACACAGAGCAGCCACAGCAGAAAGTCAAGAGCAGCGTTACCTTGTGGTCAGACGCAGAGCCAGCATTCTCAATAGCCTGGGGAGGAAAGAAAGGGACAGTTACAAGAGTGTGAGATACTAACGCACACCCACACATCCTGCACCACGGAAAGGACCAGACTGGCCAGCCAGCTACCAAAAGGAACAGTGCATCTGTCCATTTCTCTTCCCTGCACGCCCACCGATCCTGGGCAGCGGACTGCATTCAATACCATAGACTCTGGAGGCCGCTCCTAGAGCTCTCAATAAAAGCTACTCCCCTCACCTCCCTCGTACATTTTTCCAGAGCAAGAATCATGTTTTTATTGAGGAACAGAACAAGTCCCTTAAATAGACTCAACTTCTAGCCACCACTCCATGGACACTGTGATCCAGTGGGGGGAGGGAGGTGTCAGATGGGTGGCTACACTATTGAGGGAAAAAGACTGCTAGAGAAACAGAACATTCAAACTGCCAGTTAAGCCGAATGCTCCTCACTGTCTCAAAGAGCGCCTAACGCTCTGGTATGGCTGGGTGCAGCAGGCAGAGACGGGAAAGGCACCTGAGCTGGCAGCACAGTATATTTTCCTCAGACTTCTGTGACTCCTCGGTTTCCCTCATTCCTGCACAGACCTGGAATAACATCTCTGCCTGCATCTGAACACCTCACGTCACAGCTCTTTCCGTCT